CCTCTGCTCACACTGTTCTGCTGTAACACCCAGCAAAATTTGTGAGAAAGGTGTGAGCGGGAGCGTGACGGAGAGGGATCCGAGCGGGGCCGCGAGCGGGAGTGACACACTCCCGCTCACACCTTTTTCTAGCACTCAAGCTCACACTTTTCTCACACTTCACGTCGGGGATGGTTTTTCATGCTCACACTTTCGCTCATACTTTCTCTCACACACAAGCTCACACTTTCCTCACAAAATAATTATCTCCTTGATTCCAGAGCTTGCAAGGCATCTCCACTCACAAATGTAGGGAATATGACAGGGGACACTATCACTAGGTCCTAGGTATTCAGACCCGTACATATTAGGATGCTCTACTTGCTGGGAAGCTTCATTCCAAAATTTTTGAGCCTGCGAAAACGACTCATCTCTTCAATGTGACATAGGTACGCTCCGCATAGCAAAGTCCCGACATGGGCTCCTTCAAAGGGCCTTCATATTCCGATTTTCGTGTAGTTAGATTCATCAGCTGCTGCTTCATTGCATCCAACGCATGCCCTATGCCCAGAATTGCTTGATATCAAAAGTTGGCACCTGCCATGACACAATGCATGCATGCAGTTCAGACTCACCAATGTTGCGTGCTGATCGGATCCAAAAGAAAGTGCACGCATCGGCTAGACCGAGGCCGGCACATCGCAAAGAGCAGACCTCTGGTTGAACTCCCAGTCCGTCCACGCAAATCTCGCAGTTCGGATTGCTGCCAATATGCAACTGCTCCTGGCAAGAGGAACACAGACTTCGTAGTGCGGGTGCTGCCCCTCCCGCTGAAAACCCGTTCAACCAGCTGAGATCCGGTCCCCCGGAAGGAGTGTCCACGTGAGGCAGCCGGACAGCAAAGGATCCAAGGAAACGTTCACCACGTAAATGCGACCATCGCTGACCTCCGGGAAGGGACCAAGGCCGGGCAGAAGGCGACTTTTGGCCGGCCTTCTGCTCCCGGGGCTCGCCAACCCGGAGCCCAAGCCGCCGCAGGCTCCGCTGACCTGGGCTTTCAACAAAAACTCCAAAAACAGCCGATCCTCGTCCTCCTCATGTCCATAAGATGCATGCGTTGCTGCTCCGCCGTGGCGCTCCTCTCCTGGCTAAGCACATGGTGCAGCATGGCCTGTGGTCCACGAACCCTGCCACTCAATGTGATTCGATGGCGAAGCAATTAACCAGAAAAAAGAACAAACGATGGTGTTCGCCGTGTTCTGGCAGACGCAGCCGGGTGACAGAGTGGGCAATACGGTTACTTCTGGCGCCTTTCGGAGGCATGCAGCAGATCTCTTGTGACGCATGGGCCCACAGAAGGGTCCAACCAATGATCAGCAAAACCAAGCCATGGTTGCTTTTTCTACATGAGAGCTTACGATCAGATGATATCAAGGACGCTGGGTGGGACAGGTAACTGAAGGTGGGAAACCACACCTAGCAGAGTACCTGAATGTATGCAGGTATGCAACACTAATCGATGGCCCTGAATGGTCCGATAGTGTGCAAATCCCCCCCCCCTTCACAACGAAGACTGGAAGGAGAAAAGACCCGAAGCCTATAAACTGCGGAGGTGCACAGGGTCGGGCCAGGGTGCGAGTGTGAAAGAACTCTCGACAATCGAAGCAAAGACCCATCGTTCGACCGCTGTGGCTTTCCATCTTGACGCGGTGTGCAAAAGCTGTGGAGTTCTTGAGCTGTCTGGGGGCTTGAGTTTCATGTCAATTTTTCAATGGGCTTGCTGCTTCCAAAATGGATGCTCGGAGTCCTGCTAAGCATCGCTGACATCTGCTTGGAATCGGTGAGTTTGCCTATGTTTGGGTGTGCGCATTGGCTTTCCAATAGGGACCAAGACTCAAGACCATGGAGTTGGTGTGCGAGGTCAAGAGCAGCCAGGACCGATTCAGGCCTGCAGCTCTTCGTGGGAGGCTGAATATTCTTCCTGACCAAAGCCGCAGGGTTGTGGAACGGTGTCAGTAACCACCTCAAGCCTCCGGAAGACAGAATTTGGCTCCCGCCTCCAAGTACTGCGCTGCTTGCAGCTGCTCTTCCAAGCCCCTAGCATCGCTAGCATCGCGGCTGGCTGTCTGATGAGTGCACTGGGTCTTGCAACTTCTCTCAAGCCTGATCTCGGCCGGGCTGCACCGCTCTAGCCTTCAAGAATCCGTGCACCATCCAACAAGACCAAACTGTGAAGACGAGATGAGGCGAGGCTTCCCACGGCCTTTGCCGGAGCAAGTGGATTTCACCACGCAGCGTCTGAACCTCTTCAGGCCGCACCGGCAACGGCTGAGTCTCACTTGTCGTCGAGAACCGAGGTGCCGACCAAGTCTCCATGGACTTCCTCGTTGCGAGTGGATCGAGTGTGCAGTTTCTGCACCTGTCTGGCCATGGGAAGTGCATGTCGTGAGGATCAGACGCGATGATTAAACCGTGAGTATGACGAACTACTCTTGAGCTCGTGCTGCTCGGTGTCTGGCCGACTCCCCAAAGCGCAGGGCGGAACTGGTGAGGTCTGCTCGCCGAGAGGCAGGCCTTTCTCGCACCAGAGCAAGATTGCACCATGAAGAGGCAAAGCTGTCTAGTCTGACCATTTCTGAGAATGGGACGAAACGCAGGTGACGACAGCCGTGCGACAGTTCCTCAACCGAGTCCAGAAGCAATAGTCATGCAACTGCCTAGACTTGCATCAGATGATAGCAAGTACCCTTTCTTCCGCAGATCGTACTTGCAGGAAGACATGCCCTCGAGGGGAAGCGCTGTGCAATGTCGTTTCAGGCAACGGCCCCGTCAAGGCTTCTGCGAGCAGCAAGCTGAGTTTGCCTCGGGGAGCTACGCGTGTGACGGCCTTTGACCGCAAGACATGTACCGGAAGTTACACGCTGGCTGCTGGCAAGTCTCTGTCTCGATAGGGTAAGTGGTACCGACTGCTTTCTCCTGCTGATGATCGCAGTCTTCTGGGAACACCCAAGACAACATGCAGGTGGAAAGCCATCTCACTCGCAGCGTGTCGATCCGTTAGCAGCTGTCCATCGCTGCCTCGTGTGCCTTTGGCAAGTGCTGCAACCATCTCGGCCATCCTGAGAAGTGAGTTTAGCCATGAGCATCAGACTTGAAGGAGAGCTTGAGAACATCGCAAGAAGCGCAGACAGACAACGCAATGCACATTGACATGGACGCTAACAGCGAGAAGGCAAACACAAAGCGCAGATGCACCACTCCGCGTTTGCAATAATAGATAGATAGACAGACAGACAGATAGATACAGACGAACTTACGATGCGGGCAGCGCATGTCTGCGCTTCTGCTTACGATGTTCCTGTGCCTGATTGGAGGTGGTAGTTTTTGGCTTGAATGTGCTTGATTGTACGTTCATCTCGCTATGGAAAGATGTTGAGGTCTGCAAAAAGCGTGGCGCCTGAGTCCTGAACCCAAACGGCTTGGAGTACGAATAGGCTGCCGGAGAGGGTTTAGAGCTTCGTCAAGCTTGTGAAACTCCCAAATCATTCGCTCCTTCCTTCAACTTATCTACAGGAAAAGAGGCTTGCGACTCAAACCTCGAGCTCTCATTGGCTTCAGCGCTATCAGCATGTCAAGCTCAGGCGGCTGCGCAGAAAGGCCACTGCTGCCAATGCTCTGAAAGGATCCCCGCTGTCGGGCCACTTCTCCTGTCACTTCGAGGGCGGCGTAAGGGCACCGTACAAGTTACTTGTGTTTCGACTCCAGACATTTGCAATACTGGCTACTGTATCCTCTGTCAGCAGACCACTTCTCAAAGCACCCGCCACCCAGAAGTTCAGGGCCAGGGCACAGCCCTCAGCCATGAAAGGCAAACTATGCAACGATCGACTCCTTTCTGCTCTGTTCGAGACAATTTTTTCTGTGTCTCAGCATCCTCCCACACGCACGTCCAGTGCTCCAAACATCGTTGCTAATCCTATTTATCGTTTTGAGTTCTGGTGCAAGAAATGACTGGTTGAGCGAGCGATGTCGCATAACTCAAGGGATAAAGCCTCCTAGCTAAGCAGCTACCAGTAAGAAATTGTAGGGCGTCCAATGCTTTGGAGCGGCTTCTTACTGGCTTGGCTTTTGGCTGCCTTGTTCATGTTCATTGTGGGTGTCCAAAGAAACCTGGGGGCTCACACATCAGTTTATTGTTGTTATATGTATGTTTACAATCCCTGGTGAGAAACAGCAAAAGGAACGTACGGGAGCGTTTCCACTGCAAGCCCTAATCAGGGCGTGAACGGGCCAGAGCCATGTGAAGAATCAGTACGAAATGAAAGCAACCCAAGCCGGTACGGCACGAAACCACGTACATCCCCGCTGGCCTGCATGCAGGTGCTCTGCCCCAGCTAAGTCAACGACCTGCAACGAGGGCCAGCTGCCGCATCAAGTCCGCAGCTCACTGTATGTGAAGGCGCAACTTACGCCTGCAGTTTCGCATGTCGCCACTTCTGCTGTGGCCAGGTCCCGCTGCTTCCTGCCAGGACCTGGACCAGACACGTCCCACGAGTGGAGGCTGCAAAGATGCCTTGCTCGCTTAAGCAAGGGCTGAAGTTTTTGAGTCTAAGTTTTCAATGCTACGAACAAGTCGGCGTAGACCAACATCATTAAGCATATTTAGCCAGCTGCGGCAATGAAGCATTTTAAGCCTTACGAGGCATTGGCTGATCAAAAGGCTCACCCTCACCTGCTCCAGGTGCAACATCGCAATTGCCGTGGACCGGGAGGATGGAGAACTTCTCTGAGCTGACGCAAGGACCTGTCCCCAAGCGGCCGCTCGAATAGCATTGCAGCATGTTTCTCAAACAGAAACAAAGAGCAATCGATCCGCCATGCCAACTGCACATGTAGGTGTTCGACTCGGATCTTGTGTCCATAGTCGATGAGTCTGAGGATGTTCTCCTGCCGTGCTCGAATCGAGATACCACATCCGTCGAGGACGGGAGGTCTTAGGCAGTGACTGCATCAGACATCGCGCTGCGGGTGAGGCCTGTGACGAAGACGCCCGCCTGCAGACTGGACCAACGACCGAGAGTAAGAACCTTGCTTCAAGCAAAAGCCCCGGGAGCCTTCGGATGCTCGCACACGTTCAGCGCAGCGGGTGCCTTCAGATGCATATGATTGAGTGAAGAGCGAGCTCAGGTCTTGGCCGGCAAGGCAACAAACACTCGCTTGCCTCATGTTGTTCGCCGGGTTCAGGATGCAATAGGTCCCTGACCTGGAAAGGAGGCAAGGGCTTGGCGAGCAGAACGCTCGGAATGCTGTGGGCCGCAGTGACACACAAGCACAGCATGGCGCAAGGAGAAGGCGGCAATCGAAACGGCAAAGGACAAAGTCGGAGGTGTGCTGGCAATGTAAACCACTTGCTGCTGTGCTCGTTGCCTTGTCGTTGTAGATCTCCATGTAGGAGAGGCTGGCAATAGTCTTGCCATCCACCTCGCTTCTGGTGCTGGGCTCTTCGCGGAGTGGAAGTGGCAGCATCGTGCTCTCCCCGAGTCCTACTCTCCTGTCACACGCAAAACAGTGACAGCTGTCTGTGTAAGCAGCGCGGCCGCATCCATGGCTGCAAAAAGCTTCTCCGACAGCCGGGGTAGAATCCCCCGCGCCTGAACCGAAACTGTCCGACTTGTGAGACTTCAACCGATTTCAGCTTTAACAGCAGGAACAACCTACCTCTCCAGGACCGCCGAAGATTGTGTGGCTCTTGCCACAGCCCGTCGCTCCGAAGCCCAGGACGCAACTATGGTACCTTTCGCTTTCCACATCGTCTCGGGCAGCTTCTCGACATTCGTTGCTGAGGTGGGGGCCCAGCAGCAAGGGATGCCACCAGTGGACTTCCTGCACAGCACTGGCATATACTGGCATGCGGCACTATCTGATGGCGGCGGCCGGTGCCTATCAAGTTGTAGACTGCCGCTTGACCGGCCTCGGGACCCACCGATGGGCCCAGAAGAGCCAAGGACTGAGGAACGAAGCCTGGGGAAGTCCGCTGGGGCGCTGACACTGCCAGGCAAAACGGTGTCAAAAACGTAGGTCTCCTGCTTCCTGCGCCCGTTCCCAAAGCATACTGCGCTGCAGGGGCAAGTGAAGACAGAGCCTCACCCTGCCAGATCGAAAAGAACCTCACAAAAAGCTGCTCCCTGGACATGTCCTGTTTGGCTCTTCGGCTCCGCCCGATGGCCTTCCAGCATTGATCTAGCAGAGCAACGACACGTATATGGCTACAAACGGTGCACCGTCCGAAAATGACAAAGTGCTGGCGATTGCCTGCAGTGCGCCACTGGGGCGACGGCCCTCGAGTCTTTGAAGTGCAAGCGCGCGGGATGAGCTTCCAAAGCTTGTGGTGCAATTGTCTCCCAAAGCAGAGCTGGTCTGCATAGGCTTCAGACTTTTGAAGTAAGCTAAGTGCAAAAAATACAAAGAGAAGCTTCTGGCTTCCATCCATCCTTGCACCTTCATGCTGCTTGGATTTGGCGCATGGAGCTCTCGCAACAAGTCGTGAACTGTGCACGCCGTCTGGGGTGGTGATGATGCTGCGACCATTCAGTCTCGCCATGGTCCTCAAAGCATTCCTCGGCATCCGGCTTCGCAAGACCATGTCTTATCTACACGGACCTCGTCTGCATCGCTTGAGTCGTGTGGCCCGCTTTTGTTGCTTCTCTGGCTTGGAACGGCCGTGCGCTCGTCTCCAAACGCGGTTGTGTCGTGTTGGTTTCCCTCACAACCCTGGTCGCTGTGCTCACTTTGCCGACTTTGGCGGCTGAGCCTGCAGAGACTCTGCTGATGCTCGCATCGCGGCTGTTCAGCCCTTGTGTGTGGATGCGATGGCTCGAGTTGGCGTGAGCTCAGGTCAGAAGTCGAAGAGCCGAAGGTAGCAAGTCGGATCGCGAAACGACTTACACTGGTCGTGGTGGCTGACCATTCGATTGCTGTGATATGTTTCAGGCACTAGCGGAGCCTCCGAACCAAACCGTATCACCACTGATTTTGCCGGTGTATTCAGCACACCGCTCTTCGCCTCGTAAGGTGAATTTTGCCAGGGGCATCCAGGTCGCACGCAACAACCTGTCGAAGATCAGCTCTGTGGTGAGAGAAGGCTATGGACTGATTTTGCAAGATCGACAGCGCGAGCAGGCTAATTAAAGTGCCTGCGTTTGTCCATCGGCAATTTCCGAGTCCGCCATGGGCCTTACCTCGCGAAATCGAGTTCGGGTGTCCCAAGTGTCCGGGAGCTGCTTCCCAAGCTCTGGACTCGTACACAGACCGTCACAGCACGTTCCTTAGACAGCAAGTAAGTAGCAATACTGTAGTTAGTTAGTCAGCCACACAAACTAATGATGAACAACGTGCATACCACCCGGCAAGAACCCATCTCGGCAGCCAGCAATCACTTTGGCGGGCTCGTCCCGCTTTGGTGCCGGCTCTGGCACACACGCGCTGCCTGAAAGACCGGTTCGGGATCGACAGCCGAAAGACTGAAACATACGGAAACAAAAAACAGCACCTTGCAGTTTGGTTTGCTTCTCAAAGGCAGCGGCGGTGGTAGTAGGCTCCCGGCTCGAATTGCTTCCCGCTCGGCTGCTGGGGAGCCTCCACTTAGAGACGCGACAGCATGCGCCAATGCTCAGGCCGACCGTGCCTGTCTGCTGGGCGCGGGAGCCTAAACTTGAAACTCTCACTTGGTAACTTGGAGCCACGACTAAGACTGTCACGACCTCCACGTATCTCCACGTCTGTTGCGCGCTACCTCAGGCAGAAGCTCAAACCTCGGAGTCGACGGCCTCCTCGCGCTAGCGACAGAGGATGGCCTGCGAGGACCGAATGCATCACGACGAGTCCGGGCGGAACGGACACGCCACTGGTCAGCACCTGCTGGGGACCTTCGGCTGACGGTCGTTCCTTGCCAGCTTGATTCGGCGGAGAGTCGACCACAGAGAACACGGGCACGACATCGAATGTCAGACCATCACTTCGAAGCTGCAGAAGTTTGTGCTTGCGCAGCCGAAATAAGCAATTCAAATGTTCTCGAAATCACCGTAGTTTGTGAATACAGCAGCAATTCGGTTCACTGCCTTTCTCAGCTCTTCAAGAACAACAGCAAAAGAGCACAGCACGTGCAGCGCAACTTTGGACGAGGACTCCAAGATCTTTTTGGGGGCACCATATCCATATTTGTATCTGCATATACATATACATATACATATACATATACATATACATATACATATATATATATACATATGTATACCTGTGTGTATGTATGTATGTATGTATGTATGTATGTATGTATGTATGTGTATATATATATATATGTAGTGTGTGTATACATATACAGACACAGAATTTCAAACTGTCTACCTACCTACCTACCTACCTACCTACCTACCAAATCTATCCATCTGCCTAGTGTTAACGAACCTCCGTCCTTGCTGCCTGCGAGCCGTTTCCTGAGCCAGTCCTCGGCCGAAGTCATCAGGCGAGCGGATGCAAAACTTCAAAACCATGCTACAGCCATCTGAAGCTTCCGACCTTGGCACGCTCGACCGCCGGAGTGGCCTCACCTCACCAAGGCTTCTGCACGGAGCAGGGGACTTACGCTCGACTAACATGGTCAATGACAAATGCTGGAGTCCTGAACGGGAGGCCGCATCATGGCTTCTGGGCATTGCTACAAGTACCCAAACTTTGGGGTACCGATTGCCGTGGAGGTTTGTTACTCTTGCCTGCTTGCAGGGTCGCATGCTGTGCGTGCTATGTGCGCTGTGCATAACGACAGTGCACGCAGACGGTGCGGATTGTGAATGAGGCTTTGGGTGTAGACTGCGACTGGGCATGACTCGGCTTCCGTTGTTCCCAGTGATTGTCACGCCTCTCAGCTGTGTGCCAAGCCGCTGCAGCAAGTCAGTTGCCACGTTTGCACGTGTCGCGCAAGAGTGCAGAGGCCGAGGCGCGGCTGGAAACTCAGTGGGGCAGATACTGGGCTCGGAATCCCGTAACATGCACGTGTTCTGGCAGAATCCATAAATCAACTCCAAGCAGGAAGTGCGCTCCGCACGCGGATGCACGGGGCTGTGCTGGCGATGCCTGTAGTGCCTCCAGCAGTGTCCTCAAACCAAACCTGAGTCCAAAATGCACTGCACAGCTGCTCTGAAGGCTCTAAAGCTCCATCTGTTTACTGAACCAGCTTAGGCACGTCCGTTCGGGAAGTTCAGTCTCTGCTTGAGGAGCTTCGGCTGCCCGGGCCTGGCAAGCACAAGGAAAGAGAACATTGGTACCAGCTGTCCACGGCTTTCCGCATCCACACTGTCACGCAAGGAAGCTACGGTGCAAGTCACCATGGCTTGTCACAACACAGTTCGACACCAGCAGCTCTGTACCTGCATGACTTCATGGACGGGCTGCAAACTGTCAGCCTCGTCTCTGTCGGGAGCGACTTCAACATGGCTTTCTTCGCTGTGGCTGCTCTGGGGAGCTGCAACTGCGCAGATGACCCGTTTGCACAGGAGGATGTAGGCAAAGCTTTCCAATAGCAGTCTGCTACGCCGTGCATACAGTGACCTGGTAGCTCGTTTGCTTCGGGCGCAGATGCGTCCACAGAAGGAGAGTCCTCACGACAGCGCGAAATCCCACGATCCATTCCAACCTGTCGGGTCTTCCGACCACTCCTCGTCCGGACTCCTGTGGGGCTTTGCCACTTCCTGCCTTCGGTTTCGCCACCGGTGCAGAGCCTGACCAGGAATCTCTTTGTCAGATGTTTCGAAAATAAACCGGTGCTCGGACACTGCAGCAGCGCACACAGCATGCAGGGTAGCTGATTACCTCGCAGGCGAGGAAACCACCCAGGGCAGCAGCAGCTACCATGGTCCGGGATGCCTTGGGCACAGACGTGTCTACCGGTGGGGAGAGTCTGGCACATTCAGACAGAAGCGGTCTGACTTGAACCCAACCCTGGCTGTTGTGTGGCGCGCAGAAACAATGACGCTAGGGTCCTCGCTCCCACGTTGGAGAGTGGCGGAGCCGACATTGCGAAAAGATGATGGATTCAGTAATTACAGGGTTTGACTAACGTTCAGAGCAAGGCAAGAACTGTGGCCAATGTCAGCTATGATGCTCCACCAGATCAAACTGTTGGAGGCTTCACAGTTATCGGCTTCATAGGCTTCATCACGACTGTCCAGGACTACCATCACACTCCGTCACCTTCCTCGAGCGGTTCTTAAAGCGCTATTGCCATGACATGCTGCAGCATCCCTTTTCGAGATTTCCCTCTACCCACTGGACTAGCTTACTGGTGCACCATTCGCATCAGACATGCGAAAATGCTACATCCGTGCGTCCTTGTCCTTTCCATTGGAGGGGCCTCGCGCATCCTGCATCAAGGCACGAGCCACGGAACTCCGGCAACTCCAAGGCCCGTCCAAACCGCCAATCCGCCAAAGTAAGACAGAGAACAACGGCCTTCTAAATAGCAGCAAATAGCAGTGTTGGCAGAGTTTCAAGCCCGGCGTGCGCCTGTTTCGGAACGGCGTATGCCGGCATCCGCTTCTGCCCATCAGAGCGCAGTCATGTTCAAATCACTCCAGAGCACAAGACTCTGAGACCTGCTTACGAATGAGTCAACTGATCTTGTGTTCTCTGCCAACGTGCATTGCAAACCGCTCGCAAAAAATCTTCGGGCGTAGCCTCCATTACGTCGAAGTTGGGGCTGTAGTACCCTGGTCCGAGCGGGGTGCCCTGGCAGGTGGCAACAGCAAGCTCTGCCGTGCATGCAATGCCAACGGCGACAGGTCTTCCTGCGATAGGAAAGGCGAGGAATTGATTTCGCAACTTCCTAGACCTTTCAACAGGGCAGCTGGCGGCCTTCTTGGAAGATTTGGCTTGCCTCGGTATGCCCCCATGTGCGCAGACGAAAGCATGGGAAAGGAGTAAGATCTCAGTCTGCGGCTCCTTGTTTTCGGGACTCATCTGCAGACCTGAAAAGAAGAGGCACTGTATCGCCGTGCCGAACTCAGCCGCTGGATGCTGCTGGGCTCGCGACAGTCAACGTGCTTCTCAGGCTTCTGTGGATCGTACCTAAGCGAACCGAGCGACGTACTGGGCAACTTCTCATGGCTCCAAGGCCCTGCAAACGTAGTAAGGGCAGAGCTTGCCCGGGGCCGGCTTCCACTTGCCCTCGGTGACAGCCTCCACAGACAGAACGGAACAAGCTGTCAAAAGGAGAGATTTCCGAATCACCGAATCCCTCGTCACTTGTTCAGAGAGCGTCAGCGTCGCTTACATGCAAAACGGATTGCTGTACTGTACAATGGTCCAGGACAGGACCACATAAAGCTTCAAGCGTCCAGGTATCCAGCGTGTCATTGGATCTTGACTGGACATCCTTTGGAGACCTGGACCCTCGACAAATCCAGGCATGCAGTGGATTCAAGGCGCCTGACCGCCGCTGGCTGACCGCCCTGAACTGTTTATCGTCGTGGCCTGAAAGGCCGACAAAAGTTGCAAAAGACCCGCTCCGCAAACGATCCCTCCACAAACGACATGCCCGTGTGCCGGCAATACGAATGCAAAGGAATGACGTCTGCCAGAGGCCATTCCACGCGAAGCAACCCTGTCACCATACTCCCGTCGGCTGGAAAGCCTGTAGCGATGAAGATGTCAGTCTGACTTCAGGATCACTCGGAGGCGGTGCTTGCACAGCTTTGGCAGTTCTGTGCACCGCTCCTTCACATGTGATGAGCTTAAGAATGGTGCTGTCGCGAACCTCTGGAAACTTCATTCGCAGGAGCTGTAATTCAACTCTATGCAAGCAGCTCACTCTGTGCGTGCAAACCTCAGCTGTGCTCCTCAAGTGACATATACATGCTTGGCGAGCTCAGAGAAAGCTGACTGCAGGATGAGGCGCTGCCACCATGCTTTACAGAAGCCCTGCAGGCCCTGGAGCTCGGGCGACGTCGATCCTCGATCATAATCGCCCCGCTCGGTCTTGTTTGTGCTCAGGTGCTCATTTCTACCTCAGCGGCGGGTTAATGCTACATCTGTTTCCCAAGGCAATGCACATGCAGCCGCTAGGCCATCACAGCAAAGGATGCGTCTGCCTTGTCCACCAGCCTGCGCCGGCTGCAAGAAGGCTGGCTAAGTGAAATGCAGCGATAGACGAAAAACACCCCTGGACCATCAGGCCTTCGCCAGTCCACCGGAAGTTCGCAAAGCTCTGACGTGCTTCGCTCAGGAGTAGTGCCTTCACACAATGCACGGATTGATTTCCAGCGTGCAATCTGCGAGGTTTTCATTCAGCTTGCTTGCCAAGGTGCGGAATGGGCCAAGGCGCATGGAACCGACGGTGAAAAATAGCTTGAGATCCCGGATCTTGGTCGAGCGTATACTGCAGGGATGTGCTATCTTGCACAATGCATACGACCGTGCAGCATGATGCCCGAAGCATAGACTTTAGCCAGGTTACGACCGGATCATCAGAAAGAAATTTGATCTGCAATGACCCGTGCAATGGTGCGGCCTGTGCACGAGCTAGCACATGCTGGAGGAGTTTGCAATATCACGGCACTGCACTTCATTGAAGGAAGGAAATAGGCTTCACCTTGTTGCATGCCATCTCCTTCTTCTTGCCCTTAGACTGCGCCATGGACCATGCTGAACCTGGCGCAAATATCCTCGGCTCTGGAATACGTGGCTTCACAGTTGTGGGCTGGGACGCCCGGACATTCACAGTTAAAGTGAACTGTTCATGGCTGAACTTCGGCAAGTTTCACACGGAAGTCGTCCAAGAGGGGAGTGCTGAGCTGTGGCGAGACAAGTGGGAAGCCGCAGCTGGCTTTGAACTTTGCTGTCGGGTTGATCACGCGCCATGACACCACGCTGGTCTCCGTGGGAGGCGCAGACACGGACAGCGAAGGACAGGCGCTGGGCGGCAACAGCTCTGACAATGCCAATGACACTGGGTGCCGTGGCATCGCAGGGTTCGGCTGCGGGCTGGAGTGACAGCTGACAGATGGAGAAGTCGAGCGAAGAGACCGTGGAGAGATGGTGACCGAAGCTGCAGACGGCGACCGAGTCTCCTCGTCCATCCCAGGGCATTTGCCGGGACTCAAGAACTGAGATCTCGGCACCGCTGTATGTGAGCAGCAAGCCCCCTTGAGCTTCAGCTCATCCAAAATGCATTGAAGCAAAGCCTGGTCGTGGCGCTCAAGTGGAGCTCCAACCGAGGAAGCCATTGCCAGCTGTGAGCGAACAACAACACGCACTGAAATTCCTCAAAAGGCTTCGGCTGAAGAGAAAAATGACGGCAAAAGACGTGCACATGCTTTTCGAGGCAACAACGTGAGCAACCTGTGCAGGCAATGCAACAAAGCAGTTTGGAGACCCGAGGCAAAGGGGCCTGGTCATAGATGAGGCACCCGCGCGTTGCTGAGCGCAGGCACACATGCTCAAACTATGAATTCAGCGTAGCTCCCCCGTTCAATGATAGAGAAGATTGCATATACCATTGCGACTAAAACAACCAAGACCAGCATGACCACGAAAATCAGGAGGCCACGACGAGGAGACCAGCAGGCGATCATATAGACCACCAGGACATGGCTTCCCCAAATACTGGTGGGATATGGCGGGATTCAGGAGCATGCCCGAATGCGTTCCTCAAGTACCTGCAAGTAGGAGGCTCTGGCATGATTCCGGAGGACGGGCAAACTGATTCCCCCAAGTATACTGAGTACTGGCCAGATTCAAAGGCTTCGAGGCCCACGCACTGGAACTTACAATGAATCTGGCCTCCAAGAGACCCGTGTCTACCGCGATCCTGTGAAAATGTGAGGACGGGAGCGCAACCTATGCAGTGCACCACAGCCGGAGCCACGTCCCGGAAACGCTTGTGCGCGGCACACCACGCGCCCACCTTCACCAATCCAGAACTCTTGACGCTAGAGCACCCCATGTACACTAGTATGTACCAAACTGTTGGGGGAATCAAGCCCTTAGGCAAAGGAAAAGCTTCCACTGACTTGCGCGTTCATGACGGTAGTCAATTAAGTGCTCCTTGCGTGACCCTTCAACAGTCACATAGAATAAATACGTCAACTATCAAGTTTCTTGCGCAGGTGTCGCTGAGATTCCAGACTCGATTGCTCTCAGCCACGGACATTTGGCCATGATGCCCCCACGAGTGCGAGGTGTTGTCACATCGCTTGTGCTTTGGTACCTGAGCTCCAGAAAGGCACGCCGCTGCTGCTCAGCCATCGCGATAAGTTAGTCTATATGCCGTGTAAATGGGTCCGTTGCTGCTGCTGTCTGCAACGTTTGATGCAGCTGGGCACCCTATTATCCGGCAAGTCAGCCCTTTCAACGGTGGCGGCGTGATGCGATCTGCTTCACTGACCGAGGCACTCGTATGCGTTTCTTGGAGGAGTATGGTTCAAGGTGGCATTTTGGGACCTGGGACGCCCTCAGAGACTCAGACATGGAACGACGCAGATGATGTCAATGTGACTTTACAGAACCGAAACGGGCTCTGCCGGATGAACTCCCATGTGTGGCAGATAGAGAAACAGGCTGCGAATAGCGATGCCAGCAACTTGTCAAGCTGAGCAGAGAGGTCCTGGCTGGCCAACAGAAGGCCAGTTCTTCTTCGGATCCTTCTCGTCGCGATTGATTCGGCTAAACCTTGTCACCGATTCAAGGTAGCACCGGCATCTCAGACCCATGCACGTTGCGGAATCACGTCGGCAATGTGATGCTACCAGGCATCATCCCGAATGCACCGGCTGAGCACCGGGCATCCCCAGTTTGGCTTTCTGTCCGAAAGGCCTTGGCCGATGCGAACAGCCCTGCCATGACACCCAAGATAGCACGGAAATGGATCTACCTCCTGTTGCAGCCAACGTTGAGGCAAACGCTTCCCCTCCTTCTTGTAGTGATCCGGGCCTGGATACTTCGCATTCTTCTTTACCTCCGCGCAAGTCAAGTACAAATGAGGAAACTACAGCAGCGACTAGTCCTACATGAAGGCTCCATCACCCTCGTTTGCCCCGCTTTCTCTGTCGCTCAGGTCCGCATCAAGCTACCAAGGCATCCACTGGCCAGTGCATCCATGCCCAAACCATGATAACGTCCTGCTGTTGAACTGCCCTCTCTAAATCAACAAATCCCGCCGCGCAGAAACATCCAGTTTTTTTTGCGTTTTTTGTTCCGCATATCATCAAAACGGGGACGCCATGTAGAACAGTGCTAACATACGAAACTATCGGCCCTGCCATGCTTTTTGCATTTTCTTCCAAGACAAACTAGGGCAAACGACGGCGATGGACCCTACGTGAAGTGAATGGGCTGCGGGAAACAAACTTGTCTTGTTTCACAGGGTTGTGGTGAATCTGTTGGAATGGCTAGGGAAACACGGTAAACTTTGGAAAACAACATGTCGTTTAGAGTCTCACACTTGTGATGTGTGCTCTAAGATTGAACATGCCCGGCGGTCCCATGTTCCATTCTGAATCTGAAGCTCACTTTTGAAGTACTTCTTTGGACTGACAAAAAATAGCAAAGCTGATGTCAAAAAAGTTGTAACTAACGATGAGCTTTGCTCGCCTGGTACACCGAACCAGCTCGCTCCCTCGCACGCATCTTCCGTCTAAGCCCACAACGACACTGCCATTCTTTCCCCGTCCATAGAGACAGAAATCATGGTTGGAGATATCCACCACATCATAGGCCCATTCAGACTGGTCACCGAAAACGCCATCAAATGACTCCTGTCAACATGAGACTTGACCCACATCGGGCAGATCTGCCTGTCAAGACTGCCAAGAGCTTTCAACCAAAGATCGACATGCACATAGCTAACGAATCACGGCTGGCATGAAACTGTCCTTGCATGCCTCGTAACTCTGCGTGTGGCATTGTTTCGGTCCTTCCAGAAAACCTACCCTCGTCCCCAAAAAGCTTTAAACAATAGCACTTCAAAACCACGTGTGGTCGTTCGCATGTCCAAAAGAAGAGAAGACAAATGGTAAGCCACGTGCAGTGCACCAGTGTCTTTGGCAGCGACGCCAACACCAGCAGAAAGGATAATTTAAAATTTACCCAATGCTCAGCAAGGAACTTGCCCTTACTTGGAAAATACATGCAAACTGCAAGTCGTCGGCCTCTGTAAACAGGCTGCCGGCTTCGTTGGGCGCCTGCACGCAAACATATCACAGCTGCAGAGATTTTGGCAGTGATTTCTGGACTGTAGACACATCTTCACGCATATCTACTTGCCCATTTGCATATCTGTCCGCCTGTTGTGCATACGCATATTATGTAGATGTCGAAGTATGTATGTCACATGTGCGTGTAACATGAGATCTAAAGGTCTATATCATAATTTATACAATTATATAAATATATGCTAACCCCCCCCCCCCCCAAGAACTACCGCGACGTGCCCGCGATAGCGCCACCAATCCTCCTAAGTTTAAGCTTCTGCTGTATGATCCAGGTTCAACGTTAGGTAAGCTCCGAGGATACAACATATGTATATCGGCAGAAGCCTTCATTTTGTGGAACTCTGCGGCCTCCAAACTCTCGTGTTGTGTACAAACGCAGTGCGTGGCCTCCACAAAGCGGATGGATGGGTGGAGGGATGGATGAATGGATTGGTTGATGGACTCATGGATGACTAGGTGGACCCACGTGTATGAATGTATGACAGTACTCGCTGCTGCAATCCGCTGCAACCCCTTTGGGGACGCCTAGTCTCTGGTGTCTGTCTTTCTTTCGCTGTGTTTCTTGATTTAACTTTCTTTCGCTCGTTCTTTGATTTTGTGTGTGTGCACTACCTGCATGCATGGCGTGCGCGTACTGTGTATACACAATATTTGCATATTCCAGTCACGCTCTCACATGTCTGCTAACGCATATATGCAGCTCCTTGGGAATCGTCCCACCGGGAACAATTGGTTGGAAGCCAACTTTGGGGACCAGATACCTCACAAAGGAGAGGAGGACAAGCTTTCGTTCTAATTCAAGGTAGCATCCGAGGCCTAGGAGAACTGCTCAACACTGGGACATCCATCCAAGAGGTCTAGACATGTTTAAGCAGCAAGGTGGCCTCACTTTGGACTTTGGTTTTGGGTCTCTCCTCAAGTATTACTAGCTCTAGAACTTATTATTGCTGCAGGGACACGCTTCTAGCGCAAAACCGTCCATGGCCGAGTGCTAAGCAACCTCGGAGTCACGAGGCAGCAGCACTGGGTACACCCATATCATATCATGTCACGGGAGGTGCGCACAGAGAAGGGAAACAAGCATCACCAATTCATGCCAGTAGCGTGTCTTTGGGCCGTTCGTCCGACTGGAGCTGCCGGTCTTCAGCAAAGCGCCAGTCCTGTGGGCTCATTTCACAAGTGGAGACAGGTGGGATGCCACAGTTGCACCGCACTTCTGCCGCTTCGACCTTCAATGACCGGCCTCCGAGCACTGGGACGGGATGTGGTCTAAAAGGCTGCGGTCGAGCCATCCCAGGCATGTCAAGGCAGCAGCTAAGTTGAATGTACCGAGTGCCACCCGCATCAAGAGCCCCAAAATGAGACTTGCTTTTGTGCTCAAGCTGCGTCTGTGCCAAGCACCTCATCCGCCCAAGAGCTGCCATACGTTCTGAGCGGCCTCGCAGGCGCAGGAAGGTTCGGAACTAGTTCGCAGCAAGGCGCAGCTTTCAGAGACCCACCTGAGTAGAGCCATTCTTGAAGCTCATCTGCTAGCTCCTCTCTGCTGGCGAAGAACTTCGAGGCGGTGTCGGCCTTGGACTTCTCCTCTTGATACTGTCCGTAGGTCTCCGAGAGCTCTTCCGACAGGCTGGTGGCTGCCACTTCGAGACCTCAGTGACCGGGGGCCCTGGAGAGGAAAGCGAAGGAAGTCTGAAAGAAGATCCCACTATCCACAGCCACATCTAGGCCGAAAGGCGTGCTTTGTCCGCTTCAACACGCGCTAGCTCAGTCTGAAGATGATCGTAGGCTTGCTGCGCTGTGAGCTTCGTCTGCGGAATGTCTTGGAACATTGGGTGTGGTCCACCATCGGCGATGCCGACCGCATCCTCGCCCTCTAGGATCCGGCTCAGTTCGGAAAGTTCAGCCTCCGTGCTTTGACGGAAGCTTCCTTCCTGATCCTCGAGCTCCCGCAAGCGCTGGGATTCTATTTCTTCCTCCTTCGCCAGTCTTTCGCGCTCATGCGCCAAAGCATTCCATCTCCTATGCCCTCCAACGCTTGGGTTGGCGTAACCCATAGCTGCCAATTCCTCAAGCGCCGACATTATGGCTGCCAGCACCACCGAAGTCTCTCCTACTGCGCCCTCAAACAAAGGCTTCGGAGGAGCCTTTTCCGCAGATCCTGAGGATGAGCTGCTGGTGTCAGCATTGCATGTGCCAGGGCTGTAATCTGGCTTGCCCACGCCCACCACCATTTCGTACAAAGCGAGCATGCGCTGCATCTCCGCCATGAGCTCGGCATGGGCTTCCACAGGGGCTGCGGGATCCCCGGCCTCGAGCTCCGCTTTGTTCTCGCTGAAACGCAGGCTGCCTTTAGCTTGTGAGGCTGAGGCGGCTGAGGCGGCTGAGGCTTCAGTGTTTTGGGACTCTGCGCTTGCCAGCCGCTCTGTGGCGGCCGTGAGGGCCGCTGCGACCAGATGGGCTTCCTCAGCCTCCCCAAAGGACGGTTCCTCTTCCTCGCGTTTGTCTGTGTCATGTGGGCCGGGACCGCCAGGACCGGGACTTGCTCTTTGGCAAACCTCGAGGTTCGCATCAGCGAGACGGGAAATCGTTTGCTCAAGCTTCCAGAGTCTTTGCAGGAGGAGGTCCTGCTTTTGCAGCATCTCAGACTCTTCAATAGCTGAGCTCCTCCGTGGGTAGATCGGCTCCGAGCACTCGGGAAGAGAGGGATGTGGGCAAACTGCAGGCACAGGGGGCTGAGGCGGAGAATGCGATGGCGTAAGAAGTTGCATCGGCTGCATTGCCGGCCCTGGCATGCCTGGCATTCCAGGCTGCATGACAGGAAAGGGAACGGGCAATACGTTGACGCACGGCACTGCAGCGCTTCCAGGGTATGCCGGCTGTACATCCTTGCCTGGCTTCTCCTTTCCGTCTTCGTTCGACTTCAGGGCTGGACGGGGAGGGGTCTCTTCTTGACCTGGTGGCTCAGCATTATCCTTAGGAGTCTTTGGAGTTTTCTGACCTTCCGGTGGCAACTCAAAACTATATGTACATCTTGCCTGCGCAAAGCGTACCACATCACCATGTTTCAAATCGTGGGCAATGTTGGGCTTCAAACGCAGTCCGTTCACAAAGGTGCCATTGCTGGAACCCAGATCCAGAAGTTGCGGCCGCCTTCCAGCAAACGTCAATCGCGCGTGCATTCGTGAGATACCCTTGCCATCCAGCTGCAAGCTGCACTCCTCACCACGGCCAATCGATGTCTCAACTTCCTCGAGCTGATAGACGACACCCTGCGTCCGCAAATAGCCGTAGACATGGGCATCTTCGAATCTGGATGCCGAAGCCATAATTCAGCTTCTTCGGAGGACACCATGCCAAGGGCACTGTATGGGCCAGTGATGTACTAGGCTGCTAACAGGCCAGTGCCACTGAAAGGACCATGCGATATGTTATGTTGTTCATCTGCCGGGGAAGTCCAATGCCTCTTTTGTGTTTTGTGTCAAGTCGGTTCAACGAGGTCTTGACATAGCTCGACAGCCTTCATGGCGGGGGGCGGTTAAGGATGACAGTCGCCCTGATTGCGACTCTGTGACATGGCACAAAGACCAGCGGCGAGACACCGAGGAAGGGCTTTTCATGCATGGTCGGACTGCTAAATTTGAACGCAAACTTTGTTTGCATTACATAAAGCTGCCTTTCACACTATGAGTGAAATGGCAATGTCTTAGGCCTGTGTGCCGTTTTTGCCAGCACGCAGGCGAGAGGTTCATTTACTGTTCTGGACAGCAAAGGAGCTGGTGAAGCAAAAGGTCCCTGAAGTCCTTGCAGTGTAGACGGTTATTACACGTCATCACGGTGCAGTGTCGAGCTTGCAAAGCTTCAAATTCCTGTCAGTTTAGCTACCTCTCCGATGCCTCCGCTGCCCAGGCACTGAGTGAGACCGGATCGAATTCGCTTGACTCTGCAGTCTGATTTACACTGGCCTGCGCATGGTAATCTTGTTGCATTCGTAGTTTCTGACAGTTGTTGAACAGGGTGCTACGAGGTGTCACGCTAATACTATGGATTGCTTTTCGGGGTTTCTGGACAGCTGGTGCATCTGGGTCAGCGTCAGCACGCCTGACAGAGCAGAGCTTGTGCACAACGAAGGCCTCTTGTCCAGGAGCTTCCGGCCTTCCAGAAGAGGAAGCACGCAAGCCCAAGAAGCCAGGCCGGGACCTGCACAATGCGAATCGTTTGAAGGCTTCAAGTTGGCTTCAAGCCCTCAGCAGAGCTTTCCGATAGCGGCTTCTTTTGCTTTCGCATGTGCTACGCAGCGAGCTCGGCAAGCTTGTCAGCTTCTCCGGCACGGTGTGAACGTAGCCTCAGCCATGCTGATGGCATGCATGACACGCCACACGGCATCCAAGCTGCATGCACATCCCGTAACCGTGCGAGGCCGAATGTCGCCAGGTGTCGCCGGAAGAGTGTAAGGTATCAGCTCAGTCGCATGCTTCTATGCCAATCATAAAACGACAATGCAGTCTGGGCAGCTCATGTTCAGAGCATGCGCCCATTCCCAGTAGTCAGCATACAAACCTGTGGGATTGTACTCCTTAGCATGCTGGACATAAAGTGTGGCATCAGCATGTGCCGCCTGCCCCAAAGTGTCTGATTCACCGCTGACTGCAGTCGTGATTCGACGAGTTTTGCTCCATCCGGGAGGAAGACCAGATTCCTTGCAACATCTCTGAATAAAGGAGTCGCTGGACATCAGCTTCGATTCATAGCTGTCGTCGTATTCAGGGTTGCTGCTCATGTCTAAGCAGTCTGATGCATCGCCCAGCGCCGCGCAAGCTCCGAACAGCACTGCGAAGCGACGTAGCAAATTTTGTGCAGTCTCGCAAGTCAGAACTTTTTCAAAACTCGAGGGCGTCACCTCTCGCCGGCCGGTTGGGGTATCACAGCAACTTGCTCCAATGCATGGAAGCATCAACAGCGCTGTTCCGGCGAAGCCAGCCAAGCAGCACGTCGATGTGTAAAGCTTCCTGCACACTGTGCAAGTAGACGGCACGCTCAAGCGGCCTGCTGCCAGCCTGGCCAATTATGTACAGGCATGCTTCCAGGATCGTCAAGAATATGAAAACCTCAGGCGGCGACTACGGCAGCGTGGAAAACTACTCACAAACACGATGCTATGGAGAACCGTCCGCGTCTGAGGCTTTGGCCGCTCTTCTGCCTTGCCACTGTGGGTGGTCTCAAGTTTGCAGCTGAGCTACGACTTGCTTTCAAAATCTTGCCAGGGAGGATTCTTACTTGACCAGGCGTGAAGAAACAGCCCAGCTTCGAACAATGCTAAGCAACATGCTGCACAGTTTTGTCCATCTCTTCTGGTCGGCTGTTTAGGTTCTCAGGGCTTACCGCCCTTAGTGCTAAGTCAGGAGGGAGGGAAGCAATCCTGGCTCGCGGCACCTACAGGCACATACTCTACTCATGCTTTCGGGATGAGCTTTGGAGCTTGTGTTCTTGTGATCAAGTACTGGAATCCTGCAAGGCCACAAGCATTGCATTGCTGGCACCCATCCAGATGATGGGTGACTGATAGGTAAAACCCTGAAATTACGGCCCCACATTTTTAGCAACAAAAACACCTGGGCGATGAAGCATACTCGTGGTTTCATATGGTTTCATGCTACATCAATTGGTGGTGCATAGCAGCAACACAGCCCTTTCGTGTCCAGGGCCTTACTGTACCTCAACAGAAGTGCTCTTCCTTGCTCAAATCACGTCCGAGCAGCAGCTTCGCTTCCAAGAGCTCCTGGCACGGTGGCCACGCGGCCGCACCAGAACTGCCCCCGAAGCCCAAGCGTGATTCAGGTCCTCGCCCTCGACAGAGCGACCATTTCGGGTGCCGCTGCGCCGAGACAGGAAGACCTTGGACCAGCCACCTGATCCACGGAGCTTCTACGAGACGTTCCTTGTGGTCACGCACAAACTTGAGATTGGGAGGTCACGTGCATCACCTTGTGATGCTCCATCTTCCGTGCCGCCCGAGCAAGCAGCTGGAGTCAAGCCCCGGAAGAGTTCATCGCGGATGACGTTCCGAGTATTGTGTCGCACGAGTCCTGGACATCCAGATCGAGCAGATGACCCAACTTCTGAAATAGATTGGAGTTTTTTCGGAAAGTGCACCCCTGAGCGGATTTTGGGGATCACAGAAGACGCAGTGCTCGTCTTGTTCTTAGGTGTGGTTCATGATTTCACTCTTTTTTTAGGAGCTCCTCTCCACTCGCTACACTGACAGGACGGCACATCGTCGTCCCCATCATCATCATCGTCGTCATCATCATCATCACCATCTTCATCAGTATCATCGGACTAGTTCTCCAAGACGGTTCCTCCACACCCACCTCCTCTAAGAAGTCGCGTGTTTCGAGAAACCATAAGACCCTGACACAAAATGGATCACCGGTTCCCAAAAACCCAAACCTGAAACGGGTGACTGCTTCGGAACACCCAAGAAGCGAATCAGAGAACCTGTAGGCTTCGTCGGTTCTCGGCTGAGTTGCCCATGCAGGTTGTGTGGTTGCTATTTGCATTTTCTGAGCGATAATCGCAATGACTTTAAATAAACCATGCGCAAGGTTGCTGTAGCTGACAGCCGGCACGCTCCGGAACTCTGCGATCGAGTAAATAGATCCGCGACGGTTGTAATATGGCTCAAAAGGACAGACAAATGGAAACTGTCGAGAGCAGCACACCCCATGGAAGCCGAGCATCGATCCCAAGATGCAACATTTGTCACGCCAGCCATCCGGTGAGGGGTCTTAGGGATCTCTTCAAGCACTTCCACACCCATCTGCTCAAAGAGGACTTGGGTGTTGTGACCTGTGTTGAATCTTGCAGACGCCGTTGAGACTCCCGGACTTGTGCCACTCTGAAAAAACAGTCCATGACAAGCCTAGGTCCTAGGTGCTTTCAACAGTAAAAGGAAATGCTCCCAGGTGCTGAAAAACTCGCGAGACGTCTTCGGAACAACCACGGAAAGCTTATAGCCAGCACTTTTGGCGCCCGGGAAGACGCTCAGCACTCTTGGAAAAACGTTGTCTATTGCCTTCACTCCGCGTGTGCACACATCATGGAGACGAACCAAGCTTGATGACAGGCGAAAGTCACGCTAACAATCGCCACGATGCATGTCCGAAGTATCCCGGGCCGCCAGGGTAGCTTGCTTGCACAACCAAGTGCTTCGTGGCAGCATTGTCCTGCAACGGCGGCAGGATGCGTTTGTGCTGCTTGCCTGGGTGTGTCGGACGTGTCGTCACGTGTCGTCCTGCATTTCTGCCGCTGACACCCTGGTACCGCCAAAACCCAGAGCCGCGTGCTCGCTGGAGCCATCGGTCTGCTCCAAAGTCCGAACTCCATCCATGAACTTCCCAGAGTTCGAGGAGATGTAGATACCTTTGAAAAGGAGCGCTCGGCCCCAGGAGGAAAAACATTCGCGCAAATCGATGCAACCAGGTCAGGAGGCTGTTCTGCGTTGCTCCGTACTGGGCATAGCTGGAGTTCAGCTTTCGAAAGGCATCAGCATAGGGCGGATCCTCGTGGCGCCGGCTGTGTCGAGCCGGGACATTCTGTTTCAGCTGGAGGCTACATTGGATGAAGGTTGTCCGTGAAGGACAAGCAACAGCTTCGTGCCTCCGACATGTCCATCGGAATCTCCCACGCTGGCGTTGAGAAGTTGACGATCGAATACGGACTGCCTGCAAGACGATAGCTTCGCATCATGGAAAACAGTCACGTTACTACTGGCCAGAGCCGGTGCTGAGCCCAAAATCACACTGCGCTGCTGCTCAGCGGCTAAGGGCAGATGCGACCCCAGCTCGCAGATTCTCAAGGTCCTCCAATCCTGGCACAGTGATCAGAGGTCTTCAACGGCTGCGTTATCATGCGTGGCTGAACTCTGAGGCGTGCTGTTCCAAAATTTAAAGAGGCCGAAGAACCATGCAAAGTGCCAAGCTCGTGCATGTTAGTGTCATCATCCGAGAAAGCTCCTCAGTTGACAGAGTATCTCCCAACCACCATTACACAACACTCTGCCCAGGCAATCTGGCGTCTAAGAGACTACTATCGGTCAACGTCATTTCGTCTGAGGTTCCTCTGAGATGCGCCGTCAGTCGGGTGATGGCGGCACCTCGAGCTCCGACGCGCAATGAGTCTGAGGTCTTGACATCTTGAATTGCAGCTTCGCGTCCTCCCCAATCACGCATGCCAAGGCTGGGAGGGGCGAGAAGGACCAGCAAGAGAGTCCACATTCCAGCGGCTTCGACAGATCGAAAAGAGTCCCATGTTCCGACGTGGATTGGCCTGGTATAATGACTTCGAGCCGAAAAGGAGAGTCATTGATAGTCATTGTCAGAGCGGATAACAGACCGCTGAAACTTTGAAACAGCTCTTGGGACAGCCGTGTCAACTTCGCAGCAAAACGGGTGGGAGTTTGGACCTGCTTGTGCAGTGGCAGCCCCACGAAGCTTACAGGCCTGCACTCGTGACGTACTGCCCGTCGTGGCCCGAAAGACCTGCGAACGACCAGCGGGCACAAGCAGCGGCAGGTTTCCGGTATAGTTCACCGCATCGGCACTGCTTCGGAGATTACTGACATGCGAAGAGCATCGCATCAGAGAACTGACAGCGCATCCAGTGCCCGTCCTGAGCACTGCTGGGCTCCGAGGGGTCGAAACCACCGTTGGCAAAGACCTGAGCATATGCAAAGCTTGCAAAACCTTAATCAAAGCTGCGGCTGCAGCGAAGCTCAGCACCGGGCGCAGATTACAGCGGCTCCCCGGTCCTCGCGGTTCTCACCGAGCTCGCAGCCTTCACCGTTTGGGCCCATCGCTGAACCTGCAAAGCCCAGCCGTGAAAAATCAGATTAACTGTGCTTTCTGCAGCTGGGCCCGTGGCCGCACAATGCAACACGCCAGAAGTTGAAGAGTGGCAGGCTGAACCTCGTATCGAACCGCCCGACTAGCTCATGTCTTGGATAGTCCAGACGTGTTGTTGGATTTGTTGGGTGGTACTGTTGGCCCTGTCTTGCGACGAACTGCCGCTACCGCAGCGTCGGAGCTCCTACTTTTGTTCGGATTTACTCGTAACATGCTTATCATACACTCAGCTTGCTATCCGAGAACGTTTACGCGGTGCGGGCTTTGCAGAACACCAGCACAAGCCTTGGCACAGCTTGCTGCTAGCAGGCTAGCATAGTATTGTTTGCTACCTTTGTTTTGACCTGCGAGGCACGCTTGGGTTTGCGCAGTGATCCGGCCAAGTTGATGGCTGCAGGACGTTTGAATTTTAGCGATGCGACTGAAGCTGGAGAGCCCTGAGCTTGGAGCGGTCGGGTCACAGGAAACTGGATCAGAGACATGCCTCTCGCAGGCACTTGTTGGAACATGTGCAGTCGTCTTTTCCGGGCCCTTCCCGGTGGTGCCTGTGCGAGGCTTGCGATTGGGATCCAACCGCACCAGCAGTCGACCGCCACCTGCAGACAGGGGGCATCTTGCATTGCGGCAGGCCTTAGACTTTGCAGCCCCGCCTGCTTGACCAATGAATGGCGAAACTGGCTGCAGGTAAAAACCCTCGCCAAAGGCTGTAGAAACCTGCAACGAGACCGCCACATTGACAGCCATAGCGAGACCCAGGAGCTGATCAAAACAGCAACACTTCGAAACGTGTGGTTCCTACGTTGAGTGTAAAGAAGACGTGGTTGCTGTCCGTGGCAGTGGCGCGTGGCGGGCATGTTGGACCAAAAGCAAGTTCTCTCTTTTTGGACTTACAGGTGGTCTCAGAGCCTCAATGTGGTGTGCTGCTAGCGTGATTCTTGGGACGCTGGAGGCTCTTTCACTGTTTGGGGAGTCTATGATCTATGCTTGAAACTATTGTGATTGTGACGCACAGCAACTTTCTCATTCCACACAGGTCACAGGTCAACTCCAAAACTCCCCGACTGACACACAAGAGCAACATCTCTTCCAGATTGTGCTGCTTCCACCTGAACGTCAAGAGCATGGAGCTGGAAGTCCGGATCTTTCGGAAAGTCGATGAGGATGCCCCACAAATCGATATCGACATCGTCCAAGATCTTGGCAAGGCGTCACGTGAAAACGAGGTGCCACAAAGAGGTCACTTCGAATGAAACGGACCAGGAAAGGAAAATGCTCGGCTGATTGCCTCTACAGGGACTGTCACGTCGAAGAAATCATCGTCTGAGAGCCGAGAGCAAATGCAACTCGAGACACGAAATGTATAATGCAGCGGCCAGTGCACTAGCTGCTGAGGTGTGAACACTGCCTCAGCTCCGTCCACCAGAAGGGTAAAACCTAGCAAAGGCCAAATCTCACTGTTTGAAGCCTCACGCCCCTGCACAAACCGCACTGCACTGAAAGGTCGGGGAAGAGCCCCCGTTCGAAGCTCACGGTTGTGAGATCACTCATCAAGAGCTCAGCTCAGACCCCTGCGCTGGCTCGGATGCCTACCAAAAACACAACTGCAGAGCGTAGAGTGTTCCCCATCATGACATCACAGCGACTGCAACACCGAGGCCCTGTCCGACACAGCTTCTCAAGCAGGGCATGACAGAAAATCATGCTTTGGGCCTTGCACTATCGGCTCACCCGGAACTGTCAATGAGACGTCCTTGCAGGATGGGTCAAGACCAGCTGTGCCGCGCAAGGGGTAAGCCATGTATCTAACCCAAGTGTTCAAGAGCAGACGACCTCAATACATGTCCGATGAGGTGGTCTAAAGCCTTGAGAGTCACGTCAAACCACTGCTTGGGTGCATCGTCTACACCAGACTAGATGCAACACCCATGGGTCCATGTTCCGGCCATCGGGAGCTCTGAGGAAGACGTTGAAGACGTTGCGCGAAGGCTGGGGGTCCTGTCCTGAGCAAAAGGCGGACTCCTTCTGAGCTAGGGTATGACGAGGTCGCCAGACGTCAACTGAGTTGAGTAGACACGCACAGACACTGCACATGGGCTTTCTCAAGAACACCAGTCACGGCTTCTTGCCCTTGTTTGAAACCTTACCGCTTGATTCTCTCCCGTATCGTTTTACAACCCGCTTCTTACAACCGGATTTTACTAAGCACACATGACTCTTCGAGGTTTCGGCGGGAGGTCTCCGCAGGTATGATGACCACGTGCAGGCTGCTTGGCAAGCTCTGGTTCAATGTAAGAACCACCTGCAAGCGCTGCGCATCATGCACAACAACGTGTGCCACTCAGCTTGGATCAGCATGCGCACGCGTGCTCCTGCCAGCAGCTGCTAGCATCCACAAGTTGAGATCTGGACCGTTGGTGGGAAGGACGACGTTGTTTGGCATCGTGCCAGAGGCCCCAGGGACACCGGCAAGACCTGGCAAGCGCTCTGTGCTCCAGCATAATGACACTGTCGAAAGCTGGCCTGACTGCAGAATTTGTTGCACGTCTCTGAGCAGATGCTTGCTGCAGGATGAATGAAGCTCTGGACCCTCGTGCTCGACAAGTATGTCGGAGAAGCCCGGCCGCGCTTGTTTTCGCAGCTGAACTGCTGCAAATCCTGAGGTCCTTCGATGACCACCTGTCTGTCGGGGTTCTGGAAAGGTGAGTGCTTACTCTGCGTACATCTAAAGTCTACGTCATCAGCGTGGCACTAGATTCACTAGATGCTGCAAAGCTCAAGATCTGATGAACGCTTCCGGGTGTTGGGAAGGGTGGCAGATACAGCCCGTGTGGACAAAGTTGGAGTGTCGGGCAGGCCTGGCCGAGGCGGGGGAGATCCACGCGGCTGGTGAAGGCCACACCCACGTCCACTGGCACCGAGGCAAGGGCTCCATAAACCACCTGAGGGAGGGAGCTTGTCACGGGCAGCGGAGCACGTCGCTGTGTTGTGATCCATCTGTTCCCTCTCCGAATGACAAACACTTCGTGCTGGCCTGAACCTCCATGTCCACGACCTCAAAACCGGTAAACGTCCCCTGCCACCGGGCTTGGATGAAGTGCCCATACGTGATATCTGCTGACAGCACAAGCCGCACATCAGGGCTTGTGCGATCTAGATCCCGAGTAGCGCTTCTGCAGAAATCCGGAAATCAGGCTGCAGGAGCCGTGTGCCAACTCGCAGCGCTAAACATGAAGCATCTCTCTCGTCTGGCGGAGCTTGTTTTACGGATAGCCCGTTTTTTGCTTTTGGACTGTGGGGGTGGGTGGGTGGGGTGCAGGGGG